CTTATACCATCCTGTATCACTGTGTCAAGTTTGGTACTGATTGATCAAGAAATATGGATACGTATAAGAAATAGACACACACACACACACACTCGTATTGACGTCTATTTATATAAAAAGATGGGAATCAACCCCCCCCCCCCTCATGACCTTCCTCATGTCATCTTGTATCACTGTGTCAAGTTGTGCTGACTTGGTAATTTTTCAGAAGTTAGATGGGGGGTCTAACCTCCCTTATAAGGACATAACATCCAGTATCACCGTGCAAGTTTGTTTCTGATAAATCAAGAAACGTATAAGGAACAGATATCCACATATTCAAGTTTACTTATACAGATAGTTTAACAAATTATAATTAACCATTTCTTAATAGTACATAACATTAATTAGCTACAAACTGGTTTAGAACTATACTGAAGAGATGACCATACGGTGTTGTGAGAGATACATGTTTAGTAAGTATAAACATACAAGTTTGCGGACAACTTTAGTTAACATAACATGGAACCATATGGTCCTTCAAGGCTGTCCCTGTACCTCCTTCCTTCAAATTAAATTTCAAGTGCAAATCACACTTTTCGTGTAAAATACTTGAACTCAAAACGCACGTTTTTATTCGTACTTGTCTTAACATTATCTTAACTTAAACTAAGTTTTTATTGTTTGTTTGTTTTTAAGCAGAAAGCTACACAATGGGGTGTCTATGCTCTGTACACTGCGGTTATCTAAACAAGATTCTTTGCGTTATAAGCCTGCAGAAAGATTTTATAATTTCACCATTATTCCTTACTGACTCTTATTCAAAAAACAGTGAATCTCAAAACCGCATGGTGTCGCTGTAATAGGAATGTGAAGTTTTTCGATGTAATTCATTTTTACCGCAAATGTAAACTTTTTCATTACACGCATAAAAGCCGTTGACAAAGGGTTGATTTCTTTTGTGTTCATTTAACTAAAAAAAAAAAACTTATTTATGAAATTTATTAACTTAATTATTTAACATTATTTTAGATATATTGTAAACTAAACGACAGTTCACAACCATGAAACCGGTGTAATATAATGGTAGTCCACAATTACGAAACCGAAGTAGCCTAACTGCATTACGCAACCACGAAACCAGTTGCTGAAAAGCAGAACAAATGAACTGTGCTATTTTAACGTTATAAATATAATTTTACCTTTTTTAGCATGGGTAAATATGTGTGTGCCCAAATTTTTGGT